GTTGTCAGGGTGTTGCTATGTAGTTGCTAAGAGGTTCTGAGTAGTGTAAAACGTTTGTGTGTGGTAGTCAGGACGTTCCTATGCAGTTGCTAAATTGTTTTGAGTAGTAGTCTGTTTGTGGTTGCTAGGGTGTTGCTAAGGCTTTCTGACTGGTCTAGTGTGTTTTTATGCATTTGCTAGGGTGTTCTGTGAGGTTGTCAAGGTGTTGCTATGCAGTTACTAAGGAATTTTAAGTAATTTTTAGAATATTTGTATGCACTTGCTCGGGTGCACTGTGAGGTTGCCAGGGTGTTGCTAAGATATTCTAAGTGGTATAGCATGTTTGTTTGTGTTTGCTAGGTTGTTGCTACGGTATTCTGCGTAGTTTAGTGGGTTTGTATGCATTTGCTACAGTGTTCTGTGACATTGTCAGGGCATTGCCATGCAGTTGCTAAAATATTCTGAGTAGTATAACATGTTTGTTTTTGGTTGCTAGGGTGTTGCTTTGAAGTTGCTAAGGTATTCTAAGTATTTTAGTGGGTTTGTATGCGGTTGCTAGGGTGTTCTGCAAGGTTGTCAGGGTGTTGCTATGTAGTTGCTAAGAGTTTCTGAGTAGTGTTTGCATGTTTGTTGTTGCTAGGGTGTTGCTTTAAAGTTAATGTTCTATATCTTCAGCTGTTCTGTTTGCTCTTAATTATCCTGCTTTTATTCATCATTCTCCTGCAGAAACGTCTCAGAACCCACAGGGATAAAGCAGGCAGAATATAACTGTAGTATTTTGTGTGCTGTCAAGGTTGAGCTTGTTTCCTGAGCAGTGAGCGGGAGACAGTCCTTGTTGAAGCCCTAGAGCCTAAAGATCTCCCACTCATTAGTGTCACAGCAGGATCAGGAAACCATGACTGAACTCATCACTGTTGCCGGTGTCTCTCGCTGTCAAAACACCGTCAGGACCATCAGATTTAGGCAGCTATTATCTACAAAAGGGATGAAGCCTGTTCTTTAAATTGCTGTCAGTTCATTGGATTTTCTTACAGTGAAAGTGTGTCAACATCAACCACGTGTCAACATTTTTTCTTGCTTTGAATATGTGAGGAATTGCGATTAGCATATCATCTAAGGGATCAGGAAGATGCATTTATTTGTTCAGAAATAAAGTAAAAATGGTAATACTGTAAAATATTAAGTACAATTTAAAATGGCTCTTTAATATTTGAAAATATTTTAAAATGTAATTTATTTCTGTGATCAAAGCTGAATTTTCAGCATTATTACTCCAGTCTTCAGTGTCACATGATCCTTCAGAAATCATTCTAATATGCTGATTTGTTCATAATATATTATTATTATATGATGTTGAAAACAGTTGTGATGCTTCATAATTTTGTGGAAACCATGATACATTTTTTCAGGTTTCGTTTGAAATAGAAATCCCTTTTAACATTATAAATGTGTTAAAGTATTCATTTCTATTGAAAAAAAAAATCCAACCCCAAACCTTTAAAAACTAGTATTGTATATATGATTACCATATAAATACCATTGGATATTAATTATATAAAAATATAATTTCAGATATTATACTATTACTTTTTTGGTATTTTTATATTTATTATATTTTTTTAATGGTTTGTCCACCCACAGATTTACACAAGATATGGGAAATGTTACACGTTCAACTCTGGTCTGGATGGAAACCCCTTGTTGACGACTTTAAAAGGCGGAACAGGAAATGGGCTGGAAATCATGCTGGACATTCAACAGGATGAGTACTTACCGGTTTGGGGTGACACAGGTAATCACTACATTAAAAAAGACATCAGTGATGTGTTTCTCAATTTATTTACTGTTGAAGAGCCACCATTTCAATCATATTACTAACGTGTTTCTTCAATAATTTGATCAATTCAGAAGTTTCAGACAGAAAGATATAATATATCCATACATGATGTTTTAAATGAATCCTTATGACAATATGCATCACATAGGCTTGAAATGCTGCCACATTTTAAATAAGATAAAAACAGTGCAGGTTTCTTGGTTCAATTATGTTCCAAAAAGTAATATTTCAAAAAGACGAAGGAACTGATATGCAGCATTGCACATTAGCATAATTCACCCATAAGTGGTCGCCTCAAAATGATTTCACTTGTGGTAGAACATTTGAATGTGGAGATAACAAGGTTAGGTCTTTTTTTTCGGTCGTTTTTACTGAGTACACCTGCCCCATTACTGCTGCGTCAGACGCCTCGTTCATTTTCTGTGGCATGCTGCAATTTTTCAACATAATCATGCACAGAAAATAAATATGAAACAAAGAGTAACGAGTATCAAAGTGCAGTTTAATCAACTGTAGCTGACATGCGGTCAGTGTTCAGAATTGATGTACTTGTATGCTAGTGAAGATTACGTGTTTATAATCTATTAATCTTAGTCATTTTAATGGCTCTAGAGGAGACTTTTTATATCCAGAGGCAGTGACAAAACATGGATTGGCATTCTGGATAAAGTAATTATAAAGTTCATTATAAAGTCATTATATATATGCCTCAAGGCGGTAGACATCAAATCTCCCGCTCTGTAAATAATCTTGTTTAATGTCTCCCCGCAGACGAAACCTCGTACGAGGCGGGCATCAAAGTTCAGATCCACAGCCAGGACGAGCCGCCCTTCATAGATCAGCTGGGATTTGGTGTGGCCCCTGGTTTTCAAACTTTTGTGTCTTGTCAGCAACAACTGGTACCTAATGCTAAACATATCGCATTTACTGTATCACATGTCCTTATATCAGCTGCCCTACTTACTCTCCATCTACACCATCATCTCTATAAACCTGGAGAAAAACAGACTTTTTATATTTGCACAAAATATTAAGCAACACAAATGTTTTTAATATTGATAATAATAATAAATGTGACCCTGAACCACAAAACCAGTCTTAAGTCCCTGGATTATATTTGTAGCAATAGCCAAAAATTCATTGCATGGGTCAAAATTATTGATTTTTCTTTTATGCCAAGATCATGATCATGTTCCATGAAGATATTTTGAAAGTCCTACTGTATATATATATATATAGTAAAACTTAATTTTTAATTAGTAATAAGCATTGCTAAGAACTTCATTTGGACAACTTTAAAGGCAATTTTCTCAATATTTTGATTTTTTGCACCCTCAGATTCCAGATTTTCAAATCGTTGTATCTCAGCCAAATATTGTCCTATCCTAACAAACCATACATCAATAGAAAGCTTATTTATTCAACTTTCAGATAATGTATAAATCTCAATTTCGAAAAATTGACCCTTATGACTGGTTTTGTGGTCCAGGGTCACAAATGTATGCATACAAACTTCTATGTAGTATAGTGACAGTGGAGATTTAATAATAATGGATATTGATAATAATTGCATTGTTTAAATGCTTTAAAAGGTGCATTTAAAATGTATTCATTGACAATTTTTTATTTTATTTAGTTAGGTTTTAAACACATTTTAAAACACAAAATTTAAATGTCTACTTTTTGTTAAAAATATAAACAACTTTTAAATATGTCTTAATTTGTGCATTTAAAAAGTGATTTATCTATTTTTATTTGTGAATTACAAGGTGCATTAATTATTATTTATTAATCGATAGTTTTAAGTAATATTTGTGCATTTAAAAGGGATTTATTCATTTCTATTATGTATTTGTGAATTACAAGGTGCATTTCAAAATTATTTATTAATTTTATTTTATTTAAAAAATTTAATTAAATAGACATTTAAAACTAATTTCATACAACTACATTTTAAATGTCTTGTTTTAGTTAAACAATATTCATTTGCTATTCATAATACTATTTATCTTATTTAAATATATTAAAGAAAATATGTAAAAAAAAAAATTTAGTTTTGAATTATTAAATTGATTCATTAATATTTCATTTTTAAATGTTACTCCTAGTCCTCCACAGTGTTTCTGTTATTGAGCCATGCAAGCAGTGTTTATTTTTATGCATGGTTGTGTGCACTGAGGTCATGTGACTCCTCATGAGTATCTAATTCAGTTTCTAGGGAGCACTAATTGGCAGGAGGTCAGGAAAAGCGCTCGTTTACAGGCTTCAGTGGATCAAAGGCAAAAGCAGCTCTCACGGCCAAGATCAATACGTCTTCATTAATCGACCCTTAACAATAGATCAATTAGCTGAAATAACCAAGTGCTAAAGGCAACTGCGCACTCCTAATCTTGCTTTCAATTTACTGACCTACATTTTCTACTTCCTCTTCATTTTTAACTTCAAAGCACTCTGAATCCATCATAAACTCTCTATTACATGACGCTTTTTGCAGGCGACTTCAAAAAGTGACTTAATTTAATGGGAGGATTATCTTCTCTACTGGTGCCATTAGATATGCAAAATGATATAAAATCCAATTATATTTTTATACGATTCTTATTAAAAGGCTCTTAAATTTAATAAGAAGAGAATAATATAATTTTAATGACTTAAGAAATGAGCAGCAATGTTGCTTCCAGTAACTGAACTGTTCCTAAGCCCCGCCTTAAAAACGTTACTGACCAATCCCGCCTTAGCAACTGTTAGTCAATTAGTCAAGCTTTTTTGTTCTTTTCTAGTGGATCTGTGTTTGTATCTTTTTTTGGAAATTATCCCAAAAAAAATGTACTAATTTGCATATTGATTAAGGTCATTGCAGTGTCTATAGTAACTAAGAGTGTAATCACTTTCAAATGAGGCTTTTCCCTTTTCATGATTTGATTTATTAATTTATTATTCAGTTGTTTTATTTAGCGATGTTTTACAGTTTTAAAGGTCTATTTATTTTTCAATTTAAAAAAGATTTATTTATTGTATCATTTAATTGAACTACATAAATTGTTTTAAATGTCTGTTTATATAAATTGTTTATTTTATTTAAAAACATTTTAAAATAAATAGCGCTTGACTCATTGAAAAATGGCAGATAAAAATGTTGCACACACACACACACACGTGTGTATATATATATATATATATGTATATATATAAGAAACAGCATTCATTTCTTGTTTAGCAACAGTAACCAAGCGAAGAGTTCATATCTCTGGTTTTCTTCAGGTTTCACTGAAGAAAAGTTGAAGAAAAACATCATTTCCATCATGTTCTTTCTATGAAATTTTGCATTCAAAAATCACATGCTTTTCTAGATTGTGAAAAGTGGCTGATTGCAGTGTGGGTTTTATTATATTCAGCTGATGTCCTCTGCTGTTAGTCCTTTGATTGCTGTGCTCTTTGGCTCGGCTTAGTGTGTTTTGATTTGTTATTGAACAGCTTTATCCTGCCACTAATGAATAAAACTTTATGTTCTAGCTCCAGTATCTTCCTCCGCCGTGGGGCGACTGCAGATCCGAACCGATGGACTCTGAATACTTCTCCACCTACAGCATCACGGCCTGTCGCATCGACTGTGAGACCCGCTACCTGCTCGAAAACTGCAACTGCAGAATGGTGCACATGCCAGGTGTGGAGGCAACACATTACCAGACAGACCAGACCTGTACTGCTTTAGCATTTAAACTCTAATTCACAGTAGAATTAAGCAATAAGCTTATATTTTGAATAGATTGCAAAAATAGTGCATTTTCATTTCAATGCCCATATGAATAACTTTTATTTTCTTTGATACATTTTTGAATGTGCAGATTTCTTAACTTTTTTTATTATTTTATTTCTAAAATATTTTTTTTCTTTGGCAGTTGTTTGGATGTGGAGTTTTATTTTTATTTTATTTTATTTTTTATCTCTCCAGACATTGCTTTTTCACACCTACAGAATTCTATTGTAATTTGAACAGGTTTAACTTTTTCCTTTGAAAGTAGTTTGGAATGCTGCTGAGTTTGATTGTATTATTTTTACAGATGATTAGCAATTTAAACAACATTTTGTCTTTTTTTTTGTTGTTGTTGCTTTCTATCACAGGCACCTCTACCGTCTGCACACCCGAACAGTACAAAGACTGCGCTGATCCAGCTTTAGGTAAGAGGACGTCAGGAGTGATTTGTGTATTTTCATAATGCTATGTGTTTCTATCACTACTATGGCCCCGTCCACACAGAGACGTGTTTAGCTGTATATGCATACATTTTGTATCGTATACACTCTCAGAAAAAAAGGTACAAAAGCTGTCACTGGGGCGGTACCTTTTCAAAAGGTACACTTTTGTACCTTTTAGGTACTAATATGTACACTTTAGGTACTAATATGTACCTTTATGGTACCAATATGGACTCTTTAGGTACAAAGGTGTGCCTTTTGAAAAGGTACCGCCCCAGTGACAGCTTTTGTACCTTTTTTTCTGAGAGTGTAGGCGTTTCGTCCACACGGATCCGGCGTTTTGGGAGAGTGAAACCGATCTGAAATCGCCACCCTTGTGTTTTCGTGTGGACAGCGAATCCGTATATTTTCTGAAACGATGACGTCATCAGCCCACGTCTCGCCCCTAGTCAGACACCGCTACGTCACGTACCAGCAACAAAAACATGAACAAACACTGAACAATTGTCTTTTTATTAACTAACATTAACACAGATTAATAAATGTATTGTTCCATGTTCGTTTGTATACCGCGCACAATATTTATGCGCATTGTCCAAGTCTTCTTTTATGTTTTTAGTGTATCTCTGTGGCAGAATTACAGCGGTGGTCTGGCATGCGCACTACATCGTTTTGTGTCGGTTTTGTGGTTTCGTGTGGACGCAGATATTTCTTGAGACGAGGGGGAGAAAAAGATTGGATAGGGAAAGCTCTGGCTTCGTGTGGACAGCCTAAATAATGTCTAAAGTCATGACTTTTGCAGATTTTATATGATGATGTAATTAAAATATGCTTATGCTAATTTTCTTTGTAATAATAATAAAAACAACAATACTTGACAGATTTTCTAGTGGAGAAGGACAATGATTACTGCGTTTGCGAAACGCCGTGCAACATGACTCGATACGGTAAAGAGCTGTCCATGGTGAAAATACCCAGCAAGGCTTCGGCGAAATATCTCGCCAAGAAGTTCAACAAAACTGAGCAGTATATTGCGTGAGTTTACATTTTAATTTATGTTAACTACACATTGAATTCGATTTGATTTATTGTGTTGTTTTTATTCATGTCCTGGAAAGTTCATCTGAACAGCCAGTCATTGCATTTAATCTTACAGGGACAACATATTGGTGCTGGATATCTTTTTTGAGGCTCTGAACTATGAGAAAATTGAACAAAAGAAAGCATATGAAGTGGCTGGATTACTTGGTAAGTGCGCGGAAAATGCGCAAATTCTACACCAATATGGAAAATAGAGTTGCCTTTTAATATTTCATTTTATATTCTTTCAGGTGACATTGGTGGTCAGATGGGTCTGTTTATAGGAGCCAGTGTCTTGACAATATTGGAGATATTCGATTATTTGTATGAGGTCTGTTGCGTTCTAGCTCGTCTTATTTGTCCTTTTCTTTTGCTGTAATGTGCTCATGGTTACAAATAATTTGCTGACAGTATATTTTATAAACGTTGCACCATTTTTCAGGTTTTTAAGGACAAAGTGCTGGGACATTTTCTACGTAAGAGACGGCCACATCGCAGCGCTAGTGACAATCTGGTAATTGTGCTTCCTGTGTTGCTCTGCATGCACAAAAAAAGACTGTCATTGTGATGCCACAGAAATTATTTTTGCTTGTTTGTTGTTGGGTGTGCTGATATTTTTATAATTTGTGTTTGTGTGGATTGTCCTCTTGAATGCTGCATGCATCTACTTGCCTTTTGTCTTTGGCTCAAATTCTGGGAAATGATTGATGAAGATGGCCTTTCCACAAAAGACATCGGCTTATGTTTGAATAAGGACAAATATCAAAACCAGAAATGGGGAAGTTTTAGAAATGTTAAGCATGTTCACTGCTCTTCGCTTGTGACAAACCTTGTATCCGATTTAGATCAAATTAGCAGATGATCTGTGCTCGTCAGAAAATCAATTAGGACTTCTGAGTGAAACTCGTGTCACCTAATTAATATGCACAGCCCAGCTAATAAGGTTTATATACGTTTTCTCGCTGTCCTTCAGATCATGCCTATGGCCTTGCAGGCTATACATTGGTTGTATTCAATACTTTATTTTAATTTTGGAACTTTTTATTTATTTTATATTAAAAAGTCGACAGTAAATTAGGGATGAGAAAGGACTGGGATTGAGACTCATCGCTTCTTGAGCACAAAGCTTATGTTCTTGAGCACAAAGAACATTCTGGTTTCAAGATTTCTTGTCCACACTGCCTGGATTATAACACCAGTGAAGTGAAGTTTCTTTCCACGACAGAATCATTTTTCATCCAAGAAGCCTTTTTTTCCATGTTCAGATCAACGTTTTTACAAAAAACATTACTAATGTCATCATTTACCCATCCTCATGTCATTCCAAACCTGTTTGACTTTCTTTATTCCTTCCATGGAACACAAAAGAAGATGTTCTGTGTTCTTTTGCATAAAGCCAAAGCATATAATCATCAGAGGCTGTCAGTCAAGCTCTTATAAAGGACAAAAATTCACCTAAAAGCACTACTACTATGACTTCTGAAGGACTCTTTATGGTGATTTTAGGTTGTTTTTGAAACTTGACAGCCGTGTTGCCGTTGTATGATAAAGAGCTGTTGCAGAAGTTGAGTAAATGATGACCGAAAGTTAATTTTTATATGAGCAAATTGCAGTATGACAGAACATTGAAATAGTGTACCACAACATTAGTGTCATTCACCATTTTCATACCATAGCAGACAAAACAATCCATCATTTACCCCTTCCCAGCATGCACCAGGACATCACTGATCAAACATTAAAATACACTAACAAGCCTTTAGAATTAACATAGTGAAATTAGTTTAGGTAAGTTTGGTATTCAACATGTGCAGGTGCTGTTTTATTGTTTTATATTATGTTTTGAAGTTAGTAGCATCCATTAAAATAATTTGATTAAATGTTTAACTTTAAATAATATATGTAAAATGCATATTTTAGAGAAACAACATGATTTTAAACGGTTGGACCATTGCTTTTTCAGCACGGTATTATTTTGTCATAAATCTGGTGAAGGTCAATTCATTTTCAAATCAAATGAAAAATATTTCAAATGTATTTTTATATAAATGTAATTACAAATGCGAAGATATATTTATTTAATGAGAGATATTTAGTTTCATATATACAATACAGTAAGTTGGAAGTGAATTGGCCTGAGCCTGGGTTTGGTCATCTTCATCTCTTTCCATCATGTTTATTCCAGGATTTCCCCGAGAATCCCACCAGCCCTGGTGTCACGCCTAACCATGTCCCCAGGTAGCGCCGCCATTAATAATATTCCAGAAGCAATTCATTGTGTCCTTGCATTATTCACGCCATTTAGAGTCTCTTCCCTTCGTGACATTTAATGTCAGTAGTTCTAGACATGCACAAATGTCATTGTTACGCATTCTAAGATCCCTTTTTCAAAACCCTGTAGCTTTCCAGATGGAGATGATGGTTTGCAGAAGTTCAGGTAAAACGACACCTGTAGCTTTCACTTGCTTTTATTCTCAGTTTTTTCTTTCTTTCTGTTTTCCTCCCAACATGTTTTGTTTCTTTCTCCCAAAAATGTTGCTGTTTTACATCAAATATATATTTTTTGTATCGTAATTACACTACTGTTCAAAAGTCTGGGGTCAGTGAAGTGACATATGAAGAGTTCATTTGCAAAAACCAATAAATGCCCCTTTAAAAAAAAAACCGAGCTGATTGCCGTGCATTATTCTCCACATATAGCGCGATCTGAACCCTAAACACGTTTTGTCAAAAAAGCTGGTTTTGTCCACTTTCAAGGCATTGCGAGTTCACGTTTTACTGCAGAAGCCGGCAAGCGCCCTTGTTGTTTTTGAACAGAAGCCGATAAATCCATCGCTGAGAGGAGTTTCATCAAAGCTGACTAAAAGTGATCGAGGATGGATCATTTCGACGAACTTGATGAAGCTGTGATATCTTCTTCAGGGCGAAAAAGGAAAATAAAAGCCGAAACGTTTTTACGGAACCTTGCAAAAGCAGCGCATTACAATGCTGAGGGAAAAGCTCTGTGTATTGCGTGTAATCACATCCATACAGTTTATGATCACAACAACAACAACAACGTTTGTCAGGCATCTACATTGTCATCTGAGGAGATTACAAAGATTAACCTCTAAAACACGAAATGTGGAGTTATCTGCTTTTGCCACAAAACGACTATTGGCGTTATCTGTTTTTGCTATAAAACAAACTTTTAATATGTAAAAAAAAAAACATACTTTCAATGAACTTTAATTTTGTAAATTACCTGTACTTGTTTAAGTTATTATTACTTAATCAAAACAACCCAACTGCAGTTTGATTGATATTACTTAGAATGTGCAATAAAAAAAACGTGATTTCGTTATCGTTATCGGTTTTTGCAAATGAACTCTTCATATGTAAAATATATAATTAATACATTAAATTGGTCAAAAGTGACAGTAAAGACATTTACATTGTTACAAATATATTTGTTTTCTTTAAATTTCTATTTATAAAAAAATCCTGAAAAAAATCATCTGTTTCCACAAAAATATTAAGCAGCACAACTGTTGTCAACATTGATAATAATAAGAAATGTTTCTTGAGCAGTAAATCAGCATATTAGAATGATTTCTGAAGGATCATGTGACACTGAAGACTGGAGTAATGATGCTGAAAATTCAGCATTGCATCATAGGAATCAATTACATCTTACAATATATTCAAATAGAAAACATTTATTTTAAATAGTAATATTTTTTCACAATTTTACTGTTTATGCTGTATTTTTGATCAAATAAATGCAGCCTTGGTGAGCAAAAGAGACTTGTTTCAAAAACATATACAAATAAAATCTTACCATCTCCAAATTTTTGAACAGTATTGTGTGTATATTATATATATATATATATATGTATATATATATATATATATATATATATATATATATATATATATATATGGTCTGCAAAAACGATTAGCAAAAATGTTTGAAACCTCATCTTAAAAAACGGAAAAAAGCGACTAAGTTTTTAAGTTAAGGTTGCTTAGTGGAAATATGTGCATATTAATACTGAATTTCTCAGGCTTATATATCATTAACAACGGCAAACATTTCCAGCCTAGTAAAGATATGATCTGGAGACAGGAAGTAGTTGTAAGTTTGCAGTGTATAGTTTTTGCCTGGTAGACGATGAAATGATTCCTGCTGACAAAGACAAAGACTTCTGGTTCTCCGTTTTATGTATTCTATAGTGACGACACCAGGGCAACATTATTATATGAGCAACATGCTGTATGTCATATGGAAAGGTTTGTCTAAGTGAAAGGTCAAGATTATATTTGGTTGAAGCTTGTGCTATTTTGAAGGACTCGCTGATGTCTGATAGACAGATGAATGATGAAACAAGGTGGAAATGTGATGGAAAAGGACGTCTTATAAGAGAAAGTTCCCATTTATAACGCTCTTGCTTTGAATACGGCTCATTGCATGAATTTTTAACATACCCACATGAAATAAATTTGTGTATAGTCATTATGTATTAGACTGTAATCCAAGAACTAATCTGAATATTTTAGTGATAAACAAAGCAATGTTAAGATGATATAGGAAATGCTGAGCGAAGAGGAGACAAATGTCCCAGAGCTGCAACTTTATTGGTTTATTTCAGACAGAGCAATTATTTTCACCCAACGACACCTTTCATAAGTCTGTCTACAAGACTCGGCTTATGAAATATGAAAAACAAGCCTACTTGCCAGAGGAATTACTGCCACTCTGTTTCTTTGTGAAACTGCTGTTTTTATATTTTTTATCATATTATTTTTAGCAGTCGAAATCCAGGGTATTGCAGTTTCAAAACAAGTGAAACTCTATTTTTAGCATGTGTGATATGCTGTTAATTACCACTGATCATTTCAGTTCATCCTTCATTTCATTAAAACAAGCACAAATTATGTGCACTTACAGTGAAAGACTATGCAAGAAATTACGCCTAGATAAACATTACATTTTTTTATAATTTTTTATACAAATACACAAGCTGAATATTTAATTTTATTATTATTATTATTTTTACAAATTGAAGAGCCAGTTAAAATTGTGGTAACATGAGAGTAGTGTGTAAAATCACTCACCAACTCAAATATACAGCTTATATAAAGCACATTTTATACATATTATAATTAATTTAAGTGCTTTAACAAATATACAAGCTGCATTTCATTTAATTAAAATGTTTATATACAATATACAAGCTGTATTTCCCTTATTTTATTTCTTGTCTTTGCAAACTGAAGAACCAGTTACATTTATTATGTAGTAATCAACAGGAAAATACCAATATATATATATATATATATACCTTGATATATGATATATATACCTCAAGAAATGTATAAAAAAGTACTATACAAATAAAATACTAACTTAAAGGGACAGTTCACCCAAAAATGAAAATGTGATGTTTATCTGCTTACCCCCAGGGCATCCAAGATGTAGGTGATTTGTTTCTTCAGTAGAACACATACGAAGATTTTTAACTCAAACCGTTGCAGTCTGTCAGTCTTATAATGCATGGTAATGGGCTCTATGGCTTCGAGAGTCAAAAAACATGCACAGACAAAACCAAATTAAACCCTGTGGCTCGTGACGATACATTGAGGTCTTAAGACACGAAACGATCAGTCTGTGCAAGAAACTGAACAGTATTTAAATAATTTTTTACCTCTGATCCATCGCAATGTCTGAGCGTGTTCACAACATCCGACTCGTGTACATGCTCTGGCATAGTAGACATAGATATAGTAGATGCCTCATTAGTGACTGTTTCTATGGGCCGCGATATGTTCCAAAATGGTGGACACGTCAACGTATCTGGAGCGTTCGAATAGGGCATCTATACATATCTATGACAGTAGACGCATGTGCGGAGGTGATCTGTCGCACGTACACGTCACTCATTATTTACACAGTGCAGAGAGATTGCGGACGTGCTCACTGGCACTGCGATGATCTAAAGATATTTAGAAGTACAGGTCATCACAATGGAAGACGATTTTGATATATCATCTGACAACACGTATTTATTTGAAGTCACGCGCCGGATGTTGTGAACGCACTCAGGACAGTTGGACATTGCGGTGGATCTGAGGTAAAAAATTATATAAATACTGTTCAGTTTCTTGCACAGACCGATCGTTTCGTGTCTTAAGACCTCAGTGTATCGTCACGAGCCGCAGGGTTTAATTCAGTTTTGTTTGTGTATGTTTTTTTTTTACTCTCAAATCCGTGGAGCCCATTGACTGCCATTGTATGACTGACAGACTGCAACGGTTTGAGTTAAAAATCTTTCTAATGAAGAAACAAAGTCACCTACATCTTGGATGCCCTGGGGGTAAGCAGATAAACATCAAATTTTCATTTTTGGGTGAACTATCCCTTTAACAGTTTATATTTATGTATTAAATGTAACATGACATTACTATAAATTTAATGGGGAAGGTAAATCCAGAGATTTATTCGGTTTAGCCTGAAAGGATAAAATGGCTTCCATTGTTTCATTGTGATGAGGCCTGTGTCCAGTAACATGGTGTCATCACAGGTTTACACACAATGAGTACGACACACACACACACACGGTTCACTGGAATGACACTGAATTATTTCTATGCATCCTGCTGAGTTGTGATTGCAAAGTTCGCTGGTAGATTTCCAGAGCTATAGAAACAAAACTAAGAAAACTTCTTCCTTCCTCACTCCCCTCCATCCATACCCCTTTATCCATGAATTCTTCCTCCTTTTTATCCAATTTGACATGCATTCTTCATTATTGACGTTCTGTTTGCTGCCCCGTTTTATTCACATCCCTTGTTTGTTTCACTCCCATACTTATTTCCATTGTTATAAATGGGTGTCACTGACATGAATTCCTCTCAACCCCTCATCTGATCTTCTTGTATCCCTCCCACGCCTCGAAATCTTCCGTTTCCTCTCTTTCAGAGCACATGTGACACACTCCGGAGTCACTCGGACAGTCTCGGATTCGCGCCGAACGTGCTACCTAGTCACCCGGCTATAGGCAACTTCGAGGAATTCGCTTGTTGATGATACAGGCGACGGGACCCCGGCGGGACGGTTTAGGATATGACGGAAAACTGTGAAGTATATATCGGATAGACTCCAAAAGAAGTGTAAGTCCATGAAAATGTACATGTTAAATAGTTAAAAAACAAAAAAAACACCTGAATAGAATCGATATATCATCATCAAGTACAAATAGGCAACACTTCCAAAACAAAACTCAGGTTTTATTAACATCACAGCCACTGTTTGTTTGACATTGTGGAAAATTTCATGCCATTTCTTTTCGGACGATTTCAGATGTACAAATACTGTGACGGTATTACATCCCAGAGAGTATTTTTTCTCTGTGCTTTTTGGGCCTAATTTGATCAAGCCGCCTTAAACAAATCTGAAAAAGAAAGCATTTTAATATTGCACAAAAATTGGTTGGTTTGGCCATGGTTTAAATCTATTTGGGCACTTTTTTTGTACAATATAATCGTGCGAGCTTTAACCGCGGTTTGACTGAATTCAGCCCTGCGATAGTACTCAAAAATGTGTAATCATTCAGAATGTTTGTCTCTGTTCATATTTTGTGTATATAAGTGCAATAATATGCATAATGTGTTATTATGATATAATGAATACCGTATATTACCTTCAAGTCTTAATTATTAGCGGTCAGGTAAACAGAAGAAACGAGATGCTTTCGGTACAATCTGAGTTACCAGCAATTTGCTTTTCATGCCGTTTTATTTCGACACGCTAATGTTACTCTATTTATTTTGACTTCCATCCACTTGGCAGTGATGAGATGGGATGTTGTTATTTAGATTGATGAATGATGCATTTTATGTGTAATGTTCATATGAAAGCTTCACTTATCCCACATGTGAATCCATTCAGCAGATCGTTTCCTCCGGGAGTTAATTCATTAACTTAAGTGGCAAAGACTGTATGCGATGTGTTGACGTGAAAATCAAATCATCAGTCGCTGAAAAGCTCTTGACAAGTTAAATGCTCGTATTAATTATAATGAACATTAAAAATAGATCACAGTTCCACATCCACTAGGAAATAATCAATTATTTTAGATGATACAGTTGAAAAGCTTGACACATTACTCGAAAACGGTTTGATTTGGATTATTTTATGTTTTGGGGGGGTCCTACTTAGGAGTGACAGGTGTCTTCCTTTTTCTTGCATGAACTGCTCATATATACATGTTTATATATAGCCCAAAAAGTATCTGGACACTTAAAGTAATAGTTCACCCAAAATGAAAATTTGCTGAAACTGTACCCACCCTCAGGTCATCCAAGATGCTGTATATGAGTTTGTTTCTTCATGGGAACAGATTTGGAGAAATGTAGCATTACATCACTTGCTCACTAATGGATCCTCTGCAGTGAATGGGTGCCGTCAGAATGAGAGTCCAAACAGCTGATACAAAACTTCCAGTCAAAATATAAATCCTCTATTTATAATATCGCTTTCTCCAGTGAAAAAGTTGCTTGTCTGAATCAGGAGAGAAATATGCACAGATCAAGCACTGATTACAAGTGAAAACAGTCCAAAAACAGTCTGAACAAATATGTTGGTGAGACAACAGGAGATGGACTTTTTTTCACTGGAGGAAGTGTTATTATGGATTATGGACTCGTATTTTGGCCAGAAGCGATGGTTTATAAAATTAAAACATCTTTATGATGGATTTGTTTCTTACAAGCATGCAGCTTTTCACTTAAGATGTTAATGGATGGGTCTGGAGTCGTGTGGATTATTGTGATGTTTTTATCAGCTGTTTGGACTCTCATTCTGACGGCACCCATTCACTGCAGAGGATCCATTGCTGAGCAAGTGATGTAATGCTACATTTCTCCAAATCTATTCTGATGAAGAAACAAACTCATATACATCTTGGATGGCAAATTTTAATTTCTGAGTGAACGGTTCCTTTAAAAAATGTCTGAAAGTCATTGCATGAGATAAAAATGATCAACCCAAGTGGCAATTATGTTAAATAAATATAGCACAAGCACACTTTCAAAGCAAAACTTTTCACAAAAGATCAAGCACTGATTACAAGTGAAAACAGTCCAAAAACAGTCTGAACAAATATGTTGGTGAGACAACAGGAGATGGACTTTTTTCACTGGAGGAAGTGTTATTATGGATTATGGACTCGTATTTTGGCCAGAAGCGATGGTTTATAAAATTAAAACATCTTTATGATGGATTTGTTTCTTACAAGCATGCAGCTTTTCACTTAAGATGTTAATGGATGGGTCTGGAGTCGTGTGGATTATTGTGATGTTTTTATCAGCTGTTTGGACTCTCATTCTGACGGCACCCATTCACTGCAGAGGATCCATTGCTGAGCAAGTGATGTAATGCTACATTTCTCCAAATCTATTCTGATGAAGAAACAAACTCATATACATCTTGGATGGCAAATTTTAATTTCTGAGTGAACGGTTCCTTTAAAAAATGTCTGAAAGTCATTGCATGAGATAAAAATGATCAACCCAAGTGGCAATTATGTTAAATAAATATAGCACAAGCACACTTTCAAAGCAAAACTTTTCACAAAATCAAGTTGTTGGGGTTCAGTGGTAAAACAATAGATATACTGTGCAAAATTAATGGATAATTAATCTTAATGGATCATGTTCATCATTCATATGATGATCTAAAATACCTCAGGCCCGTTGAAAAATGGCTTGGAAAAATCTATTTAGTTCTAATGCAGTGACATTTTTGAGTGTCCAAGTACGTTTTGGGGCGCTTCAGCTTCACTACAGTACATTGCAATATGGTAAAAGGCAAGATATCATCTTCCATGTTTTCTGCACTCAGCTACAATGTATTATTGTATTGTTTTATATAAACTACAATGGGATTTCTAGTACAGGTGTCACAATTTTAAAACAGAGAGTTGTGACATGTAAATGATCCAGTATAATAAACAATATATTTAACCATCTCTTAACATGTTGTCTGTCTGTTGATTCTGTATGTAATCCTGGGGGCTGTTTCATAAAACAAGTTTACCAATCAAGCCAGGCTTGTTTCAGTTAGTCTGACTTATTTTGAACCAAATCAATTGACAATAAGTCAGGCTAACTGAAATAAACCTGGCTTATTTGGTAAACTTGTGTTATGAAACAGGCCCCAGTGCTGCTTTGTCCGTTTATATGTTGATGTTTTGTTGTCCTAGTCATGTGCCTGACAGTGTTGTTATTAACTAAAACTATTAAAAATTGTTTTTGGTAATTGGAATAAAGCTCAAATAAATAAATATATATATATATACACATACACACACCAATGAAGAAAGCGTATAACAAAATTACTAAAATAAAATTAAAAATAAAACTGATAATATAGCAATAAAGGCTAATTAAAAATATTAAATACTACAGTTGTAGACAAGTAATACTAGAACAACACTGGTGCTTGCAAAGATAAGGCAAGACCGCAAATCCCGTTGGTATGGTTTATTTTTTGATAGTGTTATTTCGATCAGACAAAAAAAAAAAAAAAACTTTCAAAATCCAACAAAAAGAGATAAATATCGAAAACAAATTAAATATATATAGCACCTGGCACAGTCCGACCCCAGACTGTTTAAACAGAACATTAAGATAACAGAGCTGTAAAACAATGTGTTTCACTTACGCAGTTCAGTCTTGTGTGGAAAAACCCTCCAATCCTGTAACACTGTTAACTGCACGCCTGCAACTACATCCTGATGGCGTTCGTTCAATATTGTCCCACACAAATAAATACTGTACACACACGGTCTTAAGGTACATCAGGAGGTATTTCAGTGTGTCTGATATAGATGCCGTTATCTTTATTAACTACGCTTGAAGCTACTCTCGAACTGCAGTATTTCAAGTAGATGATATCTGAAAGCTTCTGACATGCTCTGGCCACAGGAAGTTCAGTGTTTTACATGAATTGTGAGTATATCTCTGACCAGAGTGTCATATACCATGTGTAAACTGTCAAAAGCCCTTAGGCTCTATATATCTCTATATATTACAGAAACAAACCTTCCTACGCATTAGCTCAAATCTATTTTGTTCTACATAACGGCAGGTTCTAGTTTGAAACCTGACTGAACTCTTACCGCAGGCACAGCACAAAAATCACACCCTTCAGTTTTGGGTTGATACAGACTTTATGACATTAACAGCTTAAACTGATGAATTCTGGGATATGACTCGAAAGGTCAGATGTGTAATATTTAATTCAAAACGCTGGAAGAGACCGTTATCGGTTGGGTACAGAGTACAAATCCTAAACCACTAACACTAACCACTGACACTAACACTGTCAAACTGCTTTTAACCTTGAATAGTGTTTCATTTGAACTTTTTAAGTGGTTAAATAATGTGCTAATCTGCTGTTTACCAGCTGAACAAGCTGTGAACTGGGACTAATGTCTGGCTTTTTAAAAAATGCTTTAATTTTAATAATTTACTCTGTTTTTCCACATTAACTCTTCAGTTTGATAGTTAATCATTCTTATAGCTTTAGCCTCATTTAAATAATAAAAATCCTTTAATGCAGTCATAAGGTCGTCTAAGATATATCTCTAGATGAATAAAACTAGCTATATGTTGCTGTAGATGAAATGTTACTTTTTAGACAAACCGCAAAAATAAGACTCAATTTTCATTTAGTTTAAGAAAGTGTGCGTTCCCCTGCAAATCAAAAGCTTTTTGGTAAAGCAAGATTAATTTTATTGCTAAAAATTTTTTTTTTTTCTTGTTTAAATTTTCATTTTTTTTATTTCAGGTTAAGAGGTTATTGTTAAGATTTGTCAAAACATTTGCAAATGCAAATTACTTTTAATTTAAATTATATTTTTCATTAAGCAAAAATCCTTTAGTCTATTTATGTTTTTTTTAAAGAAAAAAAAAATCATGTTTTATAATTTTGAGAAATAAATATTTTTTTCTCACGAGGCAACTGGTATGATTTTACATTCAGTGATATTTTCTGTCCGCTGGTTCTGTAACGCAAAAGTGAAACTAGCAATAATACGATAAAAGGATGTTTTCATCCTTCAAACCGAGGCAGCGCTTCAAAAGTAAATACTCCCTGGCTCGCCTTTGAATCAGAGAGGCGGAAAACGTAACTTGCTCGAACCCAAAAAAAACAAACGTTGCATGAAAGAAAATGCAATGGAAATAAATACTGTAAAACAAGTGTCACCCTGTTGTGTCATAAACAAAACAAAAACACACACTCCAACACAAACACACAGCAGTCTGAAATGTAAATGTAAGTGACGTGACGAGGGAGGGGAAATGGCAGACATACTCTTGCAGTCCGTTACGCCACAGTTCCTCTAAACTGGAAGATGGTGCGTCCAGAGAACCGAACGGCTCTGACGGGCTCCTTGAACGACATGCTTGGTGTGGCATCCCAACATGCTTGATCAAAGGGTTTCAAACCAAAGTAAGGCCACAGCTACCAGAAATGAACAAAAACTGCAAACCAGAAAGAGAGAGATAATGTTAAAATACTTGAGCCATTTTGCATTGAAACACTAATCAGATCTTCATATGTAGTGATATTAACTAGTTTGAGTCCAAATTGAATCCTATTTTGTCCTGTGTTTGATTGGTTGAAGTGATGTGGTGAAACGCACTGTACAGGTTGAAGGCACTTCAGCTGCTCCCTCTACTGGTCTGATCCGGCACAAGGTTGGTGCTTATCTCCTCCTCGTCGCCCTGCTCTTCCTCTTCCTCTTCAGCCCAGCCACCCAAGCGGCCAGAAGTGGGTGGCACCAAGGTGACTGTCTGTGCAAACTGTATCTGAGGACCTTGAGCTGAAAAAAAGAAGTGCCTTCAGATCCTTTTACATAATTTTACCATGATTGACCAGGTATGCAAAATGAGTCATTAACCCACAGATTGAAATTTGGATGTCTGGGTCTGTCTGCAACTAATTCTGGTCAAGAAACACTCGCTCATGCGAAGGTCCGACTGGTCAATAAATAAAACCCAAAACTTTGTGGTCAAGAGTGATGAATTTTATTGCTCAAATATTTATTTCTTGTTTAAATTTTGAATTTTTTTAATGCAAGAGAGAGGTATGCAAAGTGATGACCCAAAGATTTAACTTCTGATGTCTGGGACTGTCTGCAGTTTATTCTGGTTAAGAAACGCTTGCTCATGCAATAGACCGACTGAACCGGACCCGTAAAGCATCCAACCATAATCTGAAAAATAACTGATTAGTCGAATAACATCTGTAGGAAATCAGTAGCACATTATAATAAGGGTAAATTCGTCAGTATATGTTAATGCATTCTATATCATGAACTAGCAATAAAAAAATACTTACAGTACAGCTTGTATTGATTCCAAAACATAATTACTGTAAATTTTTACATATGCTAACACATTAACATGTCAAGCTGTAGAAGGGAACAAACTATAATATTAATATTGATCATGAATTAGCTATGAAAAATATTATGTTTGTTTATAAATTATTATGAATAATTTCTATATTAAAAAATACTGTATATACACAAACACACATAATATGAATATTTATTTAAAATGAATTAATGAAAAAATATATTTATAAATTTTAAATATTTCATTTATATTTATATATTAATAAATCATATACTATATACTGTATGTATACACGTTTATATTTATAAAACTTGACATGAAAATTGATTAATGCTGTAAAAAATGTGTTCATTGCTAGTTTGATACTTAATGCAATAACTAATGCTAACAAATGTAACCTTACTGTAAAGTGTTAGAATATTTCAAATTACATTTCCATAAAATATTGCTAATTACTTTTTCATACATTTTTAATCATGATTTGACCTGTTGCTGAAATATATTTTCTCACCAAAACTCTTATCAGTCTGGTTTTTAATAAATGCATTGGGCGGCACTGTGACTGTGTGGAATGTGGAAGATGATGCTGTGTGCTTTCAGGTGAAATATTTCCATTCTAATTGATATATTTCATCATTTTAGCACTGTTTTAAAGTGTTAGAGTACTCAACTTATGGCCATCATTATCTGATGCATTTTGAATGCCATTTTATGTGCATCTCATACACGAGACGATTCGATGAGACTCACCACAGTTGGTGCTCAAGTCCTTCATTGGCACAGAGGCCTGAATTGGTCCAGATGGATGCTGGGTCTTTTGCTGATGTACCTAAGGGAATGACCAAAAACTATTGGAAAACTATACTGGATTATGAAGGATTGCTTTTAGTATTTGAGTATATTGTGACCACTCACCTCGTGCATGTATATAGCATGCAAGCTCATCTCGGCTGATGCGAACTCTGACGCCAGGCCTGAATGAGACTGGCTGAGCACCCTGGAGTCACTTGCAGACATGCTAATGAAAAGGTAACATTGATTACTGTAACCAGATCTGAATCGAACAGTGCGGGCATTTAAGCAGAAATTGCTTTGCCACTTTGCATTACTGTTTAATGGTCGTTACCTGTCGCCCACAGTGTGGTCGCTGCAGTACATGGTGCTGTCGTGGTGCTGTCGGGATGGCAGGAGAGTGTGTGAGCGAGAACGGCCGGCGTGGGGCTGCTGAGAAGACGAAAGGGATGCCAGGACACTAGCGGCAGCGGAAGCAGCACTGCTCGGTGGGATAAAGTGGCGATTCCTCCCAGGCAGTCCGGAGGCGGTCAGTACAGGGTGAGCCAACACACTGGCTAACAGGTTATCAGGCTGAAGCACAAAAATAACGCAAAAACATATGCATCTCATTAAAAGAAGTGAAAAATGAGCTGGCAACATGATGAGGCAGAGGTAACCCTGCAGATGCAGACGCAGATGGCTGAAGATCTGTGAAATAATCTGGCAGCAAGCGCTGAAACAATGCAGAGGCATTAAATGAAATGTCAATATTTCTTGTCTTCTGGCAGGTTTTTTAATATCCGGAATGCCACAGGAAATGTTTTTTTTCTCTTTCATTTTCCCTTCGCAATGGAGTGTTTCTAAGTGTGTCCCACTCAATAAATAAAAGCTCTACTCTGTAGGTTTAACCACTGAATTACCAAAACTATACACTCCAAAAAGCATTATTTTGAGTTCAACTTTTCACATGAACGTTTTTAGGGGGAAAAGATTCATTCAAATGAAGTTTGTAAAACAAAACAAAAGCAACACTTGATTTTTTTAATAATAATTTTTATTAATAATTAATCATTAATAAAATAATAATAATTATTATTATTTTATTAATTTTTCATAATAATAATCATAATTACTTTATATTTACTATAAAATTATAGTTAAAACTATAGTTTTTTTGGGCCAGTAATTTTTTTCCCTCTATTTTTTATTTTATTCAGAAATGAAAAGAATAATTTTATTTGATTTATCTTAAGAACATATTGATAATGTTATAAAAGATTTCTATTTCAAATAAATGCTGTTCTCCTGAACTTTCTATTCATCAAAGAATCCTTAAAAAATGTCTGAACAGTAGTGTATATCTATATATCTATCTATCTATATACATATATATCTTAATAAATATTTTAGTAAGTGTGCCTGGTATGATTTTGCATGATTCATCACTGCACATTTACATAGCAATTTTTAAAAAATTTCATATATTTTATATATAATTTAAAAATATATTTTTTGCGTAAAGAAAATTGATTAATTTTTTTTAACTTAATTAAAATCTTTTTAAAACTAACAAGATTTTTTGCATTGTTTCTTTTATGACACTTAAGCACTTTTCTCACCTAATTTAGTTACTGTTAATGCAAAAATAATAATAATAATAATAATAATAATAAAAATCCTCCATTACTCCAGTGGAAGAAAAAAATTATTATTGAGGTATTTATATATCAGGGTAGTATTTATTGTTTTTAGCTTGATTATGATTTACATTTAAAAAAAATATATGGTTAATTATGTTTAAAAAAAATCTTAATTATTAAAAAAAAAAAAGTCTTAATGGTCCTAAAAATTTACCATGTAATTTGTGTGTGTGTGACATTAGTACAGCAGATAAATATGTTGTGAATGCTGTTTAAAAAAGTGAAACTGATTGAAAGAGATAATAAGAGGATCCTAATACAGTCAAGACAGTGGCGAACATGATAAAGCGTGACTTACACCCGTTGCGGACTCACTGGACAGCAGCGAGGTACAGAGAGGAGCCTCGGACAGCAGCAGCTGAGGAGATGGTCCTGTCTGAGCGTCCTGATGCACCTTCTCCTTCAGGTGGCTGATGAACACAGAGCTCTCCTGAGGGGGCTGCCAGCATGGGTTTTTAATGGTGAAATGCATCAGAGACAGCTCCGTCTTCCCATTCTCAGCCTGCTGGTACACTGAGGCCTCCGTCTGACCTTCAGACATCCACTGAGCGAGAGGGGAAAAAAACAAACCATGAAGCCTGCTATGATACCAAGAAGCTGCTCTCACGTAACAACATACTTTTATGATTTTACCCCCCAAAAGGCAGCAGATTACTGCGAGCTGAAGCATTAATAACGTGCATGCATGGGCTCTTTGATACCTGTGGATTTCCATGGCGCCTGATGTCCATCTGGGCAAATGAGCAAATGTCTCCCACCCCTGCCACATCTACGGTGAAGTTACGGAAGAAGTCGATGATTTCTAAAGACTTGCTCCGCAGGGAGAAGATGAGGATGAAGGGGGTAATTATGGGACTCAGAAGCTCCTCCAATATAAAGACCTGCAGGACAGGTGCACAAAAATAAGAGAAACTCAGTGAGTGGAACTCATAAAAACAGCAGAGCAGGTGTGAAACAGTGCTGGTGAACAGATGCAGTGAAGATTAAAACCTACGCAACAGGGGTGCAAAATCAGACAAACTTCTAGACATCAGGTGCAGAGTGGTAAGGTGTTATTTCATACTTAAAATAACACAGAAACCTCAACTCTTAGACTTACTGTGGTAAACAACCGACTGACTCATTTTCAACTGTCTGACTTTGTGCATTTTGTGACTTTCTGAATTACAACAGACTACAGATTAAAAAGTCAAATCCAGACTATTGTACCTTTATTGTTATTTAAATAAATTATTCTAATTTAGTGAATTTTTATTTTTCTGCCTGTAAGTATGCACTAATTCAGGGGTTTTCAAACTTTAAAATAGTCACATACTGTAAGAAAAAAAAATTTCCCCCCCAAAAAATTAAATGATTAGCTAGTGATTGTATTAAAGCCTAATTTAAAACATATTCCATTCAAATTTATTTGTATAGTACTTTTCATAATAAATATAATTCCAAGACAACTACATGAAATAGTGCCTTACAACTAGTGAGCAAGCTAGAAGTGACAATGGTAAGAAAAACAATGCAAATAAAAACTATTCTTGAAAAGATATACTTTGCTAGGAAAGAGAGATTAAATTTTTTTATGTATTATGCTATAATAAATATACTATATGCATTTTTTACCAAATAAAAATTCTCACCAAGGCTATATTTAATTGATCAAAAATATGGTAAAATCAGTATAATACCGTCAAATATTATTACAATTTAAAATAACTGTTTTCCATTTGAATACATTTAAACAAGTCATTTATTCCTGTGATCAAAGCTGAATTTTCAGCATCATTACTCCAGTCTTCAGTGTCACACGTTCCTTCAGAAATCATTCTAATATGCTGCTTTGCTGCTCAAGAAATATTTCTTATTATCAACGTTGAAAACAGTTGTACTTTTTTTTTAGGGTTCTTCAGGAACGGCTTTTATTTGAAACAGAATTCTTTTGTAACACTATAAATGTCTTTGCTGTAACTTTTCATCAATTTAATGTGTCCTTGAATAAAAGTATTAAATTCTTTAAAAAATATCTTACCAACTCCAAATCTTTAAACGGTAATGTATATTAATGAATGAATTAAAAAAATAACAAGTAATGTCTAACAATAATAATCTGCCTTTATCATGCAGTTCTCACCGCTTTATATTGGAAAAGCTGTGCCATCTCGTCGCGGGTCTCGCTCTTGTTGGCGTTGCCCTTCCAGTGGTCGGGCATGTAGTGAATGTGGGCCAGGACACACTGAAGCAGCTGTTCAGGACACCACACCATATGTTCATCTGGAATAAACGACCTGTAAGAGAGTCAGACGGCATTACTGAAGCCAGGTCAGACTAACAGGTACTGAGAGCGGGCCATTTACTGTACAGCTCAGAATTATAATGCTTGGGTGTAACGAGGTCAACTGAACACATGAAACAGCACTTATTCGTTGACCTGATGCCAGCTTGAAAGAGCTGCGGAGAGTAATTGTGTTACAAGCTCTTGGTGCATAAAGAAGATCTGTAAACTTTTTGTGCACACAAGAAGAAAGAAAAAAAAAGACTAACGAATCCGGCGTAACGCAGCTAACACAGAACAACATACGCTGTTTGTGTTCAGTGGATACTCTCCAAAATAGCACCAGGGTGACGCAGAGGAGACAAATTGTTGAATTATGTTGTTTTTTTTCTTTTCTTTTGTGCACAAAAAGTATTCTCGTGGCTTCATAATATTACGGTTGAGCCCCTGATGTCACATGGATTATTTTACCAATCTCCTTGCTACATTTCTGGATGTTGATCGTGGTAATTACATTGCTGTCTATGGGAGGGTCAGAGAGCTGTCAGAATGCATCAAAAATATCTTAATTTGTGTTCCAAAGATGAACGGAGGTCTTACGGGTTTGGAACGACATGAGGGTGAGTAATTAATGACAGAATTTTCATTTTTGGGTGAACTAACCCTATAAACCGCGTAAACACATTGCATTACACCAAATAATATTTTTTAGCAACGTCATATGACCCCTTTAAACATAATTTAAATAAGCTGAAATAAAAAAATAAAACACTTAAACAAAAATGAAAAATGTTGTTGGCAAGTAACTAAAATAAAATAAGTTTAAGTACTAAAATTACTAAAACTGAAAATATAAAAAATAAAAATTGTTTCTTGCGATAGTCCTTGTCCTTGAAATGTAAAAGTCTTGGCATACCTGGTGATGGTGATGACTACGCCAAGTACAGTGATGGCTGTCAGGATGTGTTGCACGGTCAGCACATCTTCATCGTACACCGTCAGAGCGATGAGCACGGCGAGCACCGAGCCGGAGAAGAAAGCCACGTTCTTGGCCAGCACCGCCGACAGAGGAGAAATGAAAGCATTCATGTATTTTGCAGCGGGTTTGTACCCACGGCCCAGCCTGCCTTGCAGCTCGTGATCAAGCTCGTTAAAGTGGCGGAGGTAGAGACGGCCGTACAGTGACCAGCGCCGGGCCCCCAAGCTTCCCGGCTCACGCTTGATGACTTCAGCGTAGCTAAAGAACGCATACAGCACCTGCCACACCAGCACGAAGGGACACAGCAGCAGATTGACCAGACCAGTCAACAGGATGATGCGGCTGAGCTGCTTGGCGAGCTCCTGCCGGTTTGCCGCCCGTTTGTATTTGGGATGCAGACTCCACTTGTTCTGGAAGAGTGACAAAGGGCCCCAGAACAGAATGAGCTCAAAGTTGTATTTTAGGCCCTGCGTGAGGAAGAACATGTCACTGAAGAAGGGCACACGCAGTCTGACGGGCAGCAGGGACTTGTTGATCATGGCCACTGTGTAGTTTTTAAAGCGCAGGATGCGGTGGTAGATGTCTAGTTCGGAAAGTTCACGCTTCTGGACACACATGGGCTGCTCGCGCTGCAGGTGGATCAAACGGCCTTGAACTTCTTGCCACGTGAAGTTGCACAGCTCATCCTAACATTAATTTTAAAAAAAATATATATATATATATATAAAATATAATACTAATATAAATATTTCTTACATTTTTAATGCATATATATATATATATATATATATATATATATATATATATTTTTTTTATTATAAAATATTATATATATATATATATATATATATATATATATATAATTTTAACACAAATAAATAAATAAATAAAGCATGAATGAATAAAATAAATAAATAAAAATAATAATATTTTGCAAAAGACTTTGATGTATTAATATTTATCTATTTATTGACATCATTTATTTATTTATTGACACTCTTGTTTAAAATATTTGAAATGTGAATAATGTATGAAATGTGTCAATTCATAACTTTAAAATTAAATTTTTGTATTGGACTATGATAGATTTATTAACATTTATTTATTGACAGCCAGATTTTAAAAAGATTTATTTATATGCCACTCCTTATCCTCCACAAAAATGCACCTCCTTGGAAAAAACATTTCCAATTATG